ATGTAACAAAATGCAATGGTTGACTTTGTCGAAAGCCTTGCTTAGATCTGTGTAAACCACATCTGTTTGCAGTCTATCATCTAATGCTTTAGATACAAAGTGCGTAAACGAACTTAAGTTTGTTGCAGTAGATCTGCCCCTAATGAATCCGAGTTGGTCAGGTACTATATATTGGGACACATGAGAATAAAATGTTTCTGATATTATAGATTCAAACAATTTAGCAAAAGTACAGAAGAGAGTAATTGGTCTGAATCCGGATACATCACTAGACTTAGGCACAGGACAAACACGAGATATTTTCCAGTATTGAGGATAAGTACAAGTTCCAATAATTAAATTAAAATTATGCAGCAATGGTACAACAAAACAGTTAATACAGTCAACAACAATGAATGCTGGTACGTTATCTGGACAATTCGCTTTAATCTTCTTAACAGCTTTCATAAGTCATTAACTTCACAGCCTTGAATACCACTATTAACAGATCGACAACAATATTTATCACAGAATTTGCAAGCCCTAGAACCGGTATCACAGTTGATACCACAGCAATGTTCAATGTTATCACGGCTGAAAACACTAGCAAACTGTTGCGCGAAAGCATCTACTATTTCTTGCGGCGAGGTTAACGTCTTTTCTCCATCATTTATAATTCTCGGTATACTACTACATTTCTTCGTCATATTAATCATTGACAAGAATTTTTTAGTATCATATTTAATTGAATTTTCAGAGTTCTTAATGAAATTTATATAATCTTGCCGTAATGCATGTTTAATTTCCCGTCTAAGGTCTCTAAATTTATGTAAATGGTATAGTAGTCCAGATTTTCTATAATTATTCCAGTGTCTTTTTTCATCTTAATAAGATCTATGACAGTTTTAGAATACCACATCGGATAGTAACTTTTTGAGCTTAACTTACGTAGTGGTATATGCCGTAAGAACACAGCATTTAGAAGTTGGTGAAGGTGATATGTAGCGTTATCAATATTAGTAGACTGCAATACACAGGTCCAGTCTATGTTTAATAAGTCCATATACAAGGTTTGTAGATTAGCTTTACGGAAGTTGAACACAAAATGATCTTTCTGGTCAAAATTTGGTTTTTTGGTCTCACTCAGGGAAACAATAATATCAAGGCAAGGATGGGTCAAATCTTCAATGACTAGTGGTTCTCGTGCCTCCTTATTTCTGCAGAGATGTGATTTGTACTAATAATTAGGTCCAGAATTCTACCATTGGCATTCAGAATATTGTTATGTTGTGCGATGTTATTTAAATTTATAAAGTGAGCATAAGTATTATACAAATAAGTTGATTTTGCTCCCGATATACAATCAGTAAGTTCAGTAATATTGAAATCACCTGCCAGTATTACAGGTTGACCAAAGTCAATACTTTGCTCAAGATACTCAAATAGTTTCATGTATTTTGCGCAGGAAGAAGCTGGAGGCACATAGACAACTAAAACTGACAGTACTAGATCATTTAAAATCACTTTTATACCGATAAGTTCAATATTGTTTGGAGAGTTAGGTAGATTAATATTTTTTACGTTCATGTTATTGTTGACAGCTATCAACACTCCTCCTCCTCTACCACTTGTACGATCACATCTAAATACCTCAAATTTTCGAGGAAAAAGTTCATTGGAGAAGACATCTTCATGCCGCCAGGTCTCAGTTAATAATACCAGATCTACATCCGATTCACAAAAATTAAGAAAGAAATTTTGAGTTTTTGTATTTAATTCTCGTATGTTGGTATAATATATTAAGACTGAATACACTCTAATTGGTTGTCTCTTGGGTATTTACTTGTTTTTTTGTGTGATGATTTTTGGCAGACTATTCACATATTTTAATTTTAGATTTACCTCACCATTATTGGTGCGAGTTTTGAACTCCTTACGAACTAGATACGCATTATTCTGTTGTTGTCGAGTAAGGTCTCTATTAACATAAATTTTATTTGTTATTTTGTAATTTGCAATTATATTATAAGCAAGCAGCCTTAAAGGCCCTGGGCTTTTTTAACAATAATTTTCCATTTGTTCCTGTCGGCTGCTTTGGATCTCCAATCTTCAATGCCTAAGTTTTGAAGATCTTTTCGAACATCGTCTATCCACTTCAGTTTTGGCCTTCCTCTCTTTTTCTTTCCTCCTTTTAGGCGGTCTAATACTTTCCCAATTGTCCTTTCCTCTGGTGCTCTTCCGACGTGGCCTAGCCATTTTAGTCTCTGTGCTCTGATTATCTTCGTGATTGTTGGTTCTCCGTATATTTCCTCGATCTCTCGGTTTGTTCTTCTTCTCCATCGGTCTAGTTCTTTTATACCTCCATATATCTTTCGTAGTATCTTGCGTTCCCATACTTCCAACTTCTGTTCCTTTTCGTTCGTTAGCGTCCATGTTTCACTAGCGTACAGGATTGTAGGTCTTACTATTGTCTTATATACTTGTTTCTTTGTTCGTCGTGTTACATTCTTACTCCTCAGAAATCTGTTTAATCTTCCTAGACTCTTGTTTGCTTTCGCGATCCGTTCTTCTATCTCTTTTGTTTGTAATTACTACTCCTAGATATTTGAACCTATTTACTTCTTCGAATTCGTATGTTGTTCCTTCTTCTGTAGTTACTTTCAGTGGTTTTGCTGGGGTTTGTTTTGTTTCCATCTTCATAAACTTCGTTTTCTCTTGGTTGATCGCTAAACCCATTCGTTTCGCTTCTCTGATTAGATTTTTTGTCATTTTCTTCATTTCTGCTTCTGTTCTCGTTATACATGTCACGTCATCTGCAAAGGCTATATTTTGGTGTCTTTTTTCGTATATCCTGCTCGTTCTGTGGATGCCACTTCTCCTTATTATTGCTTCGAGTACTAGATTGAACAGCGTAGTTGATATTGGATCTCCTTGCCGGAGTCCTGTTCTTACTTGGAATGGTTCTGAGAACAGACCATTTATCCTGACTCTGTTTCTGGTGCTCTGCAGGGTCATCTTTGTCAGTTTTATTAGTTTTCTTGGGAATCCCAGTTCTTGCATGGCTTCTAACAGTTCTTTCCTGTTAACCGTGTCATAGGCTTTTTTTAAGTCTATAAACAGCAGATATAAGTTGATTCCCTGTTCGTAATTTACTTCTTGTAGTTGCTTCAATATAAATATCTGGTCTACAGTAGATCTATTTTTCCTAAACCCTGCTTGATATTCTCCTACTATTTTTTCCATATGCTGCTTTAGTCTTCGGTTGATGCAAGTGGCCATTACCTTATACGTTACGTCTAGCAGCGCTATTCCGCGATAATTTTCGCATTTCGTAATATCTCCTTTTTTAAATATCGGGCACAGTACTGCTTCACTCCATTGTTCTGGCATTTTTCCTTCCTTCCAACATTCTAGCACTAGTCGATGTATCTCTGATGCTACTGCTTCTCCTCCGTACTTTAGCATCTCGCCCTTTATTCCGTTTCTACCAGAACTTTTGTTGTTTTTCATCTGCCTTAGTGTTTCTCTGATCTCTCCTTCGTCAATTTCTATTGTTACATCTGGGTCGTCCGAGTCGTTCCCTCTTTCGTTCGTATCTTGCTGTGTATCCTGTTCGTTTAGCAGCTCTTCAAAGTATTCTAACCATCGTTTTATTCCTGCTTGTTCGTCTCCTATCAGGTTGCCGCCCTTGTCTTTACAATATATTACTCGTGGTTGATAGCTTCTTTTCTCTTTTTTCACGTTCTGGTAGAAGTTCCTTATTTCATTCTTGTTGAAGTTTTCTTCTATTTGTCGTATTTGTTCTTCCATTTTTGCTCGTTTCCTATTTCTGCATATCTTCTTGTACTCTTTCCTTTTTTCTTGGTAATCTTTTTGGTTCTTCTCATTTTTTGATTTTAAGTATTTCTGTCTGGCTGACCTCCCCGCTTCTATTGCTTTTCTACATTCCTCGTCAAACCATTCGTTTTTATTTTTATTGTCTTTTTTGACGAACCCTAGTACTTCTTCCGAGGTCTTCCATATGTTCTCTTGTAGTTCTTCCCACCTCTCTTCTATAGGTATGTCTTGCTCTGTTGATCTTATTCTCTCATTCATCTTTTGTTCGTATTCCTGTTGTACTTCAGCTTTCTTAAGTTTGTTTACATTTATATCAAGTTGCGTCTTCTTTCCTTCTTTTTTCTTCGGTATTTCTTGTTTGAGGTCTGCTCTTACTAGAAAGTGGTCTGAATTCGCTTCTGCTCCCCTGTAGCTTCTTAATCTGGTTATTAGTTGGGCATCTCTCCTTTCTACAAGTATGTGGTCTATTTGGTTGACCGTTTTTCCGTCAGGCGACATCCATGTGCCTTTGTAGATCTCTTTCTGCGCAAAGAAGGTGCATTTGACTACCATTTTATTTTCTTCTGCAAACTCTATCAGTTTTTCTCCATTTGGATTCGTTTTTTGGTGTTTGCTTTCTTTCCCGATTGTTGGCCTGTAGCAATTATCTTTACCTATCATTGCGTTGGCGTCTCCTATAACCATTTTAATGTCATGCTTTGGTATTTTCACATATTCTCTTTCTAGTTCTTCGTAATATTCTGTTTTTACTTCTAGATCTTTCTCTTCAGTCGGTGCATGTATATTCAGTAGGCTTATTTTCCTGTACTTACTTCTCAATCTTATATAGCTCATTCTTTCTGAGATTGGTTTGAAGGTAATTACTGCTCCTTTCAGGCTCTTCTTCACCATAAATCCTGTTCCTAGTTCTCTGTTGTCAATTCCGCTATTAAATAATATGTAGCTGTCTATTTCAGTGATGAATTTGCCTTTTGGTTTCGTCTCTTGTATAGCTGCTACATCTATATTATACCTTTGTAATTCTTGAACTATTTGTTTGAGTTTTCCTTCGCTATATGTTCCTCGAACATTCCATGTTCCTATTCTAATTTTCGGGTTTTTCTTTGTCTTCGTAATTCCTATCGGGTCATCCATGAGCTTTGCATACGTCGTCATTGTTTCCCAGTGTGTGGTTTCTTCCTCTGTTAGTTTTTTGGATTTTCTTTGGGGTGCGACGGTGCTTTCACTAATTTGTCTAATTTAGTGTCCCAATGCCAGACTTCTCCCGCCCATATCATCTTTTTGTACCCCACTTTTGCCTCGACTCCTTTCCCTTTTTCTGCTGCTGCTATTCCTCTTATTTTCTTCTGTATCTCGCTCTCTTGTTTGGTGTAATCGCCTTCAATAAACGTTTTTGATCCTTTTAATTTGTTCTTCTGTTTCATGATTGCTCTTTTTGTGTCCCAGTTCTCTATCTTTGCTACTACTATGTCGTATTTTTCGCTGACTAATCTTGGGTCTTGTATCTTAGTTTGGATTCCTACCTTATTTTTTAGGAGTTCTTCAACCTCTGCTGTTATTTCGCTTCCTTGTAGTTTCCCTCCTTTGATTACGATGTTGTTTCTCCTTTCTGCTTTTTCCAGTTTTTCTAAGTGTTGCTCCACTCTTTCTAATCTTTCGGTCAGTCTTTGGTTTTCTTCTCTTAGTGTTGTTACTTCTGTTTGGTATGCTCTTTGGTCTCTTTTCATTTCTGCGATTTCCTCCATTAACGTTTTGAACATATTCTTTACTTCGTCCATGTCTCCTGCTTGTACCCTCTTCTGCTTCCTCTGTACTCTTTGACCTTCCGGTGATGGTGAAAAGGAGGTTTCTCTTTTTCGTTTCTGGTTGTCTTGTTCTTCTATTGCTAGTTTGTGTCCTTTTTCCGGTTCAGGATTCCCGTTTAGCATTCCCTGGCCGACTTTCTTGCTTCCTGTGTATCTAGTACGTTCCTGTGTTGTTTACTTCGTGCCGCGATAAGAACTGTCACCCAGACTATCTCTTCGGAGGTTAGGTTCTTTTGATTCCACACTTTCCCGAATAATTGCTGTCCTTACGCTTCTTGGTGCTTCTTACTCTTATTCCACTTCACTTCTTTGTTTTCTACTACTTCTCTTTCGCTTTTGACGCTCGATATCTCTCGATTTTCGAGTTTGGATTTCGGAGCGTGTTCTGCTTATCGTAGTCAGGACCGTACCATACGTAAATTACTCACAATAATATTCGCTGCACGTCGTTGCCTTTCCTCAAACTCTTCCAGCAATTGATCATCAGTAAAAATACGATTACTTTGACCATGAACCTCATCAGTATCATTTGCTAATTCACCTTGCGTTTTTGTTAATTTCTTTATTTCACTGATTTCGGATTTAAGATCAATAATTTCCTTTTGAAGCCCTTTGAAAATGTCAAATAGGTTGCAACCTTTACATAGATTAAATTAACACAAGAACCATGTGTACAGGATTTACAAAAATCACACTGGATACGTTCATCTTCCTTGATGGATCTATTGCACACAAAGCAAAAGCCACTAATAGGCATTATTACAATCACTAGTAACAATTAAATAAAGGATTATTATCAGAACACTATCTGCTCTATCAACACATCACATATATTATTATTTAGATATATTTGTATTGATTTTCTCTACTCTAAATATTATTTTATAATTTACTGACACATTAATAGCTAAATGGGAGCCAAAAATAAACCCTGAAACAATTTAAATGTTTCGCGTAGGTTTACATTCAGAAATTTTTATTAGCATAATTAATAATTAATTAACGGAATCCACAGTAACTCAAAAACACAAATGGCCTAAAATAATTAAACACAAACATGTCGATGAACGGCTAAAACAACGTTATTTTGTGTGTATTATTAAACAGGTTTTCTGCTGTTATTTTTACACGTGTAGGTATGTTGTTTCATTAATCAATCAGCGAATTAGAGATCAAAAACCGCGAATGCCACATTTAATTAAACTGTGTACATGTGTGGGGACAACAGGTCGAAATGTAATAATAGAACTGAACCAGAAAAAAATAAAAATGAAAATGTTTGCAAAATTTTATCCTTGATTAATTGCAACTAGGTATGTTTTATTGCCTGCTTAGGTTTACCGATGACCCCATTCACAACGCACTTGTTTTCACTCATAAATGATAGCTTTTGAAATAAAAAATGTACTGTCAGTGGCGGATAGCCAAGTCGAGCTCCATTCACTTCCAGCTTGATTTAAATCATTGTTTGAATTCAAAATCGTTTTTTATTCGCGTCACAGAAACCAAGCCAAGTGCAAAAACAACCAGCATCAAGAATAAATCCCCCCTATGGCATTGTTTGGGTTTATTTGTTTAACAAGATTGTTGCGGGTTGTGTGAAATGTAACGTTGTCTTTCTTACAATAAAATATGTGTGTATCAAATTTATAAAAATAGGAAATTCGCTGTTCACACATTTTATGATTTTTATTTTCTGAGCGCAAACTGGCTGGCTACTTTTAAGTTTCTCGACGTTTCATGATCCTTAGAGTGCGAAAAAATAGGTCTCCCGTTTCCGTCTGTCTATTGTCTGTCCGAATTCTTATTAAACAGAATCTGTGAAACTACTACTATTTTTTTTTACAGGTAATTACGTTGGATGATATTCACTCAAGCCAAGTTTTTAAGTGAGTATTAACTACTTTTAATATTAATATTTCTAATAATTTTAACATCAGAAATTAGTAAAGTGAAGGTTGCAAAACACGACTAAAAAAAGCATGACTTAAATATGGATCAATAATTCTTTTTAAAAAATAAATAATGCACCCCATTACGCTGTCTTGAAAATTGATATTAATGAACGAACAGAATAATTACTCCGACTAAATACGTGTTTTCGTTTCGATATTTGTTAAAAGCCGCCGAGCGCGTTCAGGTGCGCTCGTACTAAAAAACGACAAAATACCTAAACCCGAACATGATATCACATTTCATTACCTGAAACGCCTAAAACAATATTTCCGCTGTTCCACGTAAAAAGCACAACGCTAAATGAAATTTTTTGTGTCGATGCCATTAACGTAAATTGGTATGAATATCATCTAGCCGACAATATTCTAAAGCTTCATACGGCGAGCTTTTAACTAAAGCATGCAAATACCGTCACGTAAGCTCGTAAAATCACATATTTGACCTAAATTTTGTCGCATCTACATTCCCATAACATCGGCTCTTTAAGGAAAAGAGGATTTAAAAGTGATCTATGAAGGCACTTGTGATGCGACGATATTAGCTCACTTTTACCTTGAAACCCCAAACCAGTGTCTCGTGAATTTAATACGTTTCGTCCCTTGTAAGTAGATTAGAAGAAACTGAACGGATTTGTTTAATATTACTATCAGTGTATTAATTGATGTTCTAATACCAACGTTGGAAATAAGAAATGGCGCAGTTCTTGTTACCGAAGCGGATGAAATTTCTTGCGCAATTTCCTCTTCAGATGTAACCCAGATAGATAATATCCTATTCTGATTCGGAATATACTAATTGACAAATCCCGGATTTGAAACCGGATGACACCTTATCCTTAAGGATGATCAAGTCGGAATCCAGTGAATAGGGAACCGAAAGGGACGGACAAAAACAGTAGAGATAAATGTGACAGGGGTGATCATTATCTTTCGTATTGCAAAAAGCATCCTCGACCCTGAGGAGTTCTTTTTGATAACGTTTAGAACATTTAAAGGTGGGCCTTGACAATAAGTTATCTTATTATTTATCGTTTCATTTTATAATTTGTAACAATTACATAGAGTGTACTCGATATCAAATGAAATTTTGCAGTTGTAGTAAATGTCGTGCTCAAATTAAATTACTTCCGTGCACTTACCAGAAAAAAGCCACTTTGTTCGATAGAAAGCAATAAAGAAAACTGACGCTTTTCCAACTAGTAGCCATTTTACACTTTAACTATTTTTATTCTTTAACTGAGTATAATAGTATCAATCTCGAGTCATACTGATGGCCACTCAACACAAAAAATTGTACTGGGTGTTGATAACCTGTCACTATATTTTTAATAAAAATTTGCCGCTTCTTTGAGTTTGATAGAGCTTAAGAAAGTTAGGTTATGGTTGATATTTGTGACAGGCGACGATGAGAACGATCATGATCACAACGAGGCGGCAAAATTCACAAAATGTTAAAGCCTACTTGATATCAAATCTCTTACAATATTAACCTTGTATTTGTAGAAAATTGCACTTGGATTTTTCCAAGTTATTATTTTATGTTATCAAGACGTTCCTCCATATAGACTCCTTACGTAACACCTTCAATACTCGAATCTATGAGATTTTTCATACTTTTCTTTCGATTTTAAAGAAAGTAAATCTGAAGCATCTTGTGAATATCTTTATATTTTCGTTAAAATTCAAAAGCAAATTTTGGACTTAATCCTTGGTGGTTTTTAGTATTTTTTTTTAATTTTGATATGAAGACTTGCATATTTTGCTAATAAACACATCAATAAAGTGTGATTGAGCAAATTTTCAATTTTTAATTTCCGAGGGTAATCTAATAAGGAAGTATTACAATTAAGTCCATCTGGAGACTGGCTACTTTCATGTTTCCTCGACGTTTTATGACCGCAAGAGTACGAAAAAATAGGTCTGTCGTTCGTTCTATCTGTGTGTGCCGATTTTTATTTGATAGATAATTTCCGAAACTACCAGATCGATTGTCGTCACATTATATGTGCGCTTTAGGAATATCGTATACATGGTGGTGTCATCTGAGAAGTTTCTACCAAAATAAAACACTAAAAGCCAGAAGATTTTTTCAGGTTCATCCAGCAACAAAATTTATCCTTTAAATTTATCCGAAAATAAAACCAGTAGGGGACCTAAAGTTAACTGCGCACATTTTAACGCGTAGAGTTTTGAAAATGTTGACAATATACCAGTAGAGGGAATTTTCATTTTTAAAAAAGTCGTCTAAAAATTCGCAAAAAATTCGGGGTTGTAGATATTGAGGTGCTGATTCCAAAAATATAACGTGCTTAGAGTCAGGATGCATTATTCGAATGAATTTAGAATTTTTTGAAATTTTTAAAAACTGCGTTATTTCAGTGGGCGATTCTTCAAAAAACCGTTGGAGTTATCGAAGAAATGGGAACGGACTTCTGCAGCCTGAAATGTTCAGAAAATGTATTTAGTTAAATTTCGAAAATTGTTGAAAATGAGTTGAAATTTGCATAGTGGGAGTATACATATTGGAAATTTTCATTTTTGAAAAAGTCATCTAAAAATTCACAGAAAATTTAAGCTTATAGATCTGGACGTGCTGATTCGAAAAATATAACATGTTCAGGGTCAGGGAGCAACATTTTCGAAATATTCGGAGTGAAATTGAAGTTTTCTGAAATTTTTAAAAATTGCGATATTTTAATGAACCATTCTGGGAAACGGTTGGAGTTATCGAAGAAATGAGACCGAAACTGGCTTCTACGGCACGTAACCTAGAAGAAAATGCACTTATTTAAAATTTCGAAAATCGTTGAAAATCAGTCGAAATTTAAAAATACTTAGTGGAAATTTTCATTTCTGCAAAATCTTCTAAAAATTTACAAAAAATTCAGGGTTATAGATCTTGACGTGCTGATTCGAAAAATATAGCATGCTTAGGGCCATATTGTCGAAATATTCGTAGTGAAATTCGATTTTTTTTTAATTTTTAAAAATTGCGATATTTTAATGAGCGATTTTGGAAAAACAGTTAAAGTTATCGAAGAAACGGGGCCCCAAATGACTTCTGCGACCCCAAATCTACAAGAAAATGTTTATATTTAAATTTAGAAATTCGTCGAAAATGATTCCAATTTGCATAAGATTGGTACATGGGTTGAAATATAAGAGGGGTTACATAGTGGAAATTTTCACTTTTGAAAAACTAGTCTAATTCTCAAACAATTCAGGATTGTAGCTATTGACAAGCGGATTAAAAAAAATACAGTATTTTAATGATTACGGAGCAATATTTTCGTCAAATTCGGAGTCAAATTCGATTTTTTTGAAAATTTTACAAATTGAGTTAAATCAATGGGCAATTCTGGAAAAGTGGTTGGAATTAGCGAAGAAATGGGGCCGGAACTGGCTTCTGTGGCCCGAAATGTACAAAAAATGTATGTATTTAAATTTCGAAATTCGTCGAAAATGATTCGAAATTTGCATTGGAGGGGTACATAGTGGAAAATTTTGTTTTTGAAAAAGCCCTCTAAAAATTCACAAAAAATTCAGGGTTATAGATCTTGAGGGCTGATTCGAAAAATATAGCATGTTTAGTGTCACGAAGCAATATTTTCCGAAAATTCGGGAACGGAAGTGACTTCTGTGGCCCGAAATCTACAGAAAATGTATTTAGTTAAATTTCGAAAATCGTTGAAAATGGGTCGAAATTTGCATAATATGGGAGTATACATATTGGAAATTTTGATTTTTGAAAAAGTCATCTAAAAGTTCACAAAAAATTCAGGGCTACAGATCTGAATGTACT